GCCACCTTTTCCAGATATATACCTGTGGCATATCTTTATGTAATAATTATAGCATTGCTCATCTATAGCAGGTGCTAAACATATTTTTGTCAAAGTAACAGCTTGCAGCTTCATTGCTTATTGCTATTAAACAGAATAATCAGAGACACTTCTGAACAGTTGATTTATAAAGAACAGAGTAAGATGTTTACTGTTAGATTCCCAGTGTTATATAAAGTCGTCTCTATATAACAGTCTTTGGTCTTTCTAGTTTCTTCAGATCCTGAACCCTGAGCTTTTTAAAGAGTTTTTCATGACCCCTCCCCTTCCATAAAAATCTCTGGGTAGTTTACCAAGCTCAGTGAGGACTTCTTTTCCTGAAAAAAGAAAAATCTTTCAAAATTTTGCCTAATTTTATGGAAAGTAAAATAATGAAAAAGCAGTGCTGTCTAATAAATGTTACTAGAAATATCTTTCTACAATGTGATCCCCATTTAATTTATGATAAAATTATAATGTTCCCATTAACTTCAATGTAAAGCAGATGACAACTGCAGTGGTAAATATGTGCCGCTGAAGAAATGAAGTACCAGCTAGTAGTTTGTAAGTTTGCAGTCATTGCAATATTATTGTAAAATACTCTTCCTCAAAGTCAAAACTCTATCAAAACAATATAAATAATTAGATGTAATGAAGAGTTATTGACCCATTGAACAGGTATGTTGTACAGTGCATATTCATCCTAGTTATAATAGTTATATAACTACAATCACTTCATGACTCTTACTAGCATTTGAGAAGGTATTAGATACAATAGGTCTGACTGGGAAAGGTTTCATGTAAATACATATAAGTGGGGTAGAACTCAAATTTACACCTTATCTGTTAGGGAAAGCCATTCTTTTGATATCAAGATATGAATGACTTCTGAACATTTTGCAAGGTTCTAAGAAGAGTAACAGTAAGACACCAAGAAGCGAAGAGGTTTGCCCATCCAAGGAAGAGGCATGAACATGTTTACAAGGTTTTTGGTACTGAATAACAGATCATCAGAATAAAGACCAGAGGAAGTATTAAAGCACAGAGTCCCAAGCAGCACTGATGAACAAGCACTGATTAAGAACTTGTTACAGTACATGTGTGTATATATATATAGGCTCAATCAATTTGTTTTAACAGAGCACCAGTGCTCTCTATAAAATTTGAAGGCACTCAGTGCTTGATTGAAATCAGCCACACATAACCCTTGTAGTCAAATAAATATCAGCTTTTCAGAAGTAATCAACTGAAACTTATATGCATCAATATATATAGAATAGCATAAAATAAAAAGTACATACTATGTAATTATTTATGTACTTTTAATAATTGATGTGTCAATATTGAGGACCACCTTAGTCAAAGGAATTTTTAACAGGTCTCAGAATGGAAATTGTCCAGAATTTACTGTGCTGGCTCTAAACATACCGAAAAAAAAAATCTAAAACATATTTACTTTTCTCTCAGACAATCTCAGCTTTGGGTTTTTTTTCATGTTTTATTATAAAACTGCTTACTTTAAAGTTGTTATAAAAATAGGACATTATACAATATGCATCCAAAGTGATGTAATTCCTTTCTTCTTAAGCTAGTTCATACTTAATTGTGGGTTAAAGTAGGTTATGCAATGCAGTGCTCAAATTTCCCACAAACAGCTCCTCTGCATGTTTTCCTGAAGCTATGTTGATCATTTTACTGCAGTCTCATTCCCTTCCTCTGGTTTAGGACCTTGAGCAGACTGACAAAGTGTGTGATCTGTGGAGCAGTTGAACCTCCATGGACAAGGGTCTATTGCAATCCCACATGTAAACGTGTGGCTCTTATTTCATGGATTTCATTTACTCTGACTAAAGAAAACTGAAAACCTGTTTTGAACAAAGTACCTTGATTCTCCACTGTATTGCATACTGAATAATCGCTTACACTTTCATGACCTTTCCAGGTGACTATCAATCATCAGATTGTCTTGGGTATACTAATATGAGTAAATACACATGTCAAAGGCAAAATATGCTCATGTTATACTCATACATCTTAATGAGTATCTTCATTTCACTAACAGCTGGTAGGATGTCATTCCTTCATTTGGACACATTGTGAGAATAGAATAAATAGAATCATAAATAAACATTTTTAAATAAACATAATTATTTCTTGAAGTATATAAGATCTGTTACTGGAGGACATAGAAAGAACATTTATTTAATAGGGTTCTGTAACTTCATATATATATTATATATATTTCAGCATGTAAACTGCTACAATGTATTATCATGTATACAAAACCCAATATGCTCTATATACAATCCCATCTGTTTTAAATGTGATGATTACTGATCATGGCAGACGGCACATGTAGTGTAAACAGTTTGCTACACACAAACCAATATATTCTAATTACAAGTCAATAAATTTCATGTACAATCCAATTAGCTGTCATAGACACTCTTGTATTTAGTAAATGTAACTGATCTATTTCAAATTGCTAATTTAAATAGACCATTATTTAATTGACAGGCCAACATATTTGAGGATAGGAAGCAGCATATTATACAATAGAAATAATATAATGAAAATAATACTTCAAAGTACAAGCTATTTAAGGTTTGTCTGATAAATCAAGTAACTTCATATACAAGAAGGTACCATGAATGCCATTGAAGTCCTTTACCTATCAGTCGTTCTGCAGTACTTCTTTTTGTAGGAAATCATCTCTAAATCATAGAATCATAGAATAATTAGGGTTGGAAAGGACCTTAAGATCATCTAGTTCCAATTCCCCTGCTGTGGGCAGGGACACCTTACACTAAATCATATCACCCAAGGCCTTGTCCAACCTGGTCTCGAACACTGCCAGGGATGGAGCATTCACAACCTTCCTGGGCAACCCATTTCAGTGCCTCACCACCCTAACAGGAAAGAATTTCCTTCTTATATCCAATCTAAACTTCCCCTGTTTAAGTTTTAACCCGTTACTCCTTGTCCTATCACTACAGCCCCTAATGAAGAGTCCTTCTCCTGCATCTCTATAGGCCCCCTAAATCTGCATGGAACACTAGAACTACAGCTTCGGGATATAAAGACTCAGCTCTGAAATTAACTTGCACACATGGCCAAGCTACCACCAGAATTACTGCAGAAAGTCTTATTCAGAAATGCAACTGAGGAAAGAATTAGGTTCATCCACTATGGTACTAGTGGTTTGAAAACCAGAATCTAGGTATCTTTGGGAAAGGTAAGGCATTTCCAGAAGCACTAAATAACTTCAAGAAAAAAGCAGTAAAAGAAAAGTAAGGCTCTTCACAGCAGTTTGGTCCAATGATCAATTGAAATCCAGTAGTAGGAAAGTAGGAAAATAAATTTGTTTCTAATTTCCTTCTGTGGTGCTGGTTAAAATTTGGTTTCTGAACTGGAAAGGACAATAAAGGTGGCTTTATAAATCTGTCAGTACTGCTGCTCTGGGGAGACATAACAATCCAGAATCACAGTATAATGGATAGAGCATGAATGTAAAATTGCAGAGGGTTGCCTGTACAGTACACAGTATGTAGCATAGGATGTTGACTGAATAAAAACCAGCTAAGATTACTCAAAAGTTCTGGGCTTAATGTAGCTGCACAGACTGTGGGCAGATGAAATCCTAAGCAAAGAATAAGGTCAGGTCAGGTCAAATTTTCTGTGGAATTGCCTAGAAAGATTTGTCTTGGAAATCTCTACTCTGAAGGTCCTGAACACTACATTAGTCACACCTATGCTGCTGACTTCATTATCACTATGTGTAGCTTTTTAGATTCCTTAATATTAAAGTCAGCTTTGGGCTGTATGATGACTGTATTTAGGCATCAAAAATCTAGCATGTGTCAACTTGAAACTCAGAATGGGTAGGATGAGAGGAAGAAATTTCCAGTCCTTTCTTCTGTTTGTAACTGCTATGATTATTCCAAATGGTTGCACACAGCTCATAAATAGCATTTTACCTGCAGTAGCTGAACTGAAATTTGTAGTCTTGTCTCTGGCAATAGTAAGTAGATAAGGTTTTTTTCATTTTAGAGGTGTTATTCCTGGTATTAGTAAGTTCACAGTTAGGTAATTTATTTTCCTCCTTCAGAATATGCAGAATTTGACTCTTAGAACTGCCTTAAAGGCTCCCCAAAGAAGGAAGATGACACTAAAAGAGAATTTATTTCAAAGCAAAATTGTATTGCTTGCAAGACAAAATGAATAAAGTTGAGAATTCCTAGCAGAGAAGCCTTAAGACTCCTTAGCTTAAAATTATTCCCCTTTTCCATTCCAGACCAATTTCTGAAGAACAGCAAAATGATCTGAAAAAACCCTCTGCATAAATAATTGATTTCCTTTACTCTAGATGTGGATTCTTTCTGCATAAAAATGTTCTTGTGGAGTACAGTTTGTAAGGCTGGAAGAGTGAAGTATTTGCTCTTTTGTTTAATATGCACTGGATTCCTTTGGTTATCCTAGCTGTGCTATATAGTTCTGGCTAAGGGAAGTTATTATACACCAGTTAATGATGGTTTTGATCCTGAGCTAATGATTTCAATTTGTAACACAATTTGTTTCTTCGAGGTTTCATTGCTCATGCCATGCTTAGGTCTAGGCAGTTCCACAAAATTAGACACTCTGGGCATAATTTATGAAAATAGCTTTTTAATAAACCCCCCGATGAAGCGAGAGAACCATGTTAATAGTTCCTTTGCCTTTGCACATTCCTGAAGACCAGACAGGAAGGACCTGATTTTACCTTCTTCAGAAAGAGCAAATAAAATTATTGTGTACTTCTCCAAGATGCAGATGCTATATCACACAATCCCTGATAACATGCATTCATGTACTTGATAGCCCACAAAAATGTGGCTATTTTCACAGGTGTCTGCGCCAGAAGAGAAATATCCTAAAGCACGTCAGAAAAACTTTCAGCATTCATCCTAGTTTTATTTTAGTGGAACCAGGTCACAATTGTAACTCATAGACTACAGCAAGGAAAGACTGAATTTTATGGGGATGGGAGCAGAATATTGAGAATTAGCATTTTGCACAGTTTTGTAGTCTTGCTGCTGCCTTTCTGCCAACACGGATGGGTGACTGGTATTACCTCTGGTGCACCTGCAACCTGGGCCTGTCAAAAAAATACAAATCACAATATAAAATAATCAGCTCATGAAAAAAGTTTAGGCTGAGATTTGTTTCTCATTTGTCACATCAAAATCAAGAAACCTTTTATGCAGGAAGCAGGAGAGTATTTGACATTAATCTGCTGGTATGCAGGGAGAATAAATGAGGAATTTTTGTTGTTCGTGTGTTCATGTAGCATATCAATGATTTTGATAATAGCATGAGGATATCTGGCTACAGTCTAACATGTTAAATTAAGTTGTTAAGGCCTTAACACAGGTTTTGTCTGCCTTTATTCTAGTAGAGTTACAGGTTCATATGACTGTTAAGAGAGTGGAGAATAAAATCAAGTGTAATTCTGACTATGGTAAAAAATTTATTCTCTGTAAGTAAAATTAAATCTGTTTTGTTTATTGGTTGACAGACACAAACATGTTCTCCTTTTTTTTTTTAACCAGCAACCTGCTTCATGTTCTGTGATATCTTGGGGCAAATACGTGCAATAGTTGTTTAATGACATTAATTTTAAATGGAAATAATTCAACATACAGAAAGAAACTCTACAGAGAAAAAACCAAGAAGCCAATTGCCTTTAAAAAAGACATGTTTTTGTTTAGACTAACAGGCCTCCTACAGAAGTTGAAAAATGTAACATGGACTAAATTTAACTTTGCTACTGTCACCAAAGATAATAACGTGTCTACCTTCTGACAAAATAAACTGAATGACGCTCACTTGACTAACACTTACCATCAGTCAGGTCCCATGGGAAGGACTATTCATGAGTGATGGTAGTTTGGAAAAAACAAATGTGTACCCCTCATCCTGGAAAGACATGTTATTGAAAGAGACTTATGAACTGCAATATTGATGCAAACCACAGAGCCATCTCCTAAGCTATTAGGGATGGCTAGAAAACGGTAAGTTTGTTTTGTCAGATATTCAGACCAATTACTTACTGCTGAGTGACTGCCTACAATTGCTACAATGAAACATCCTCACATGGATGTTTCACCAATGGAATCTGATAGCAGAAAGATCTGGTTTCTCATCTCTCCTGTCAGTCTTATGCTTTGAAGCACTAAGATTTCTTTTTTTATTGTTACATTTTTCATCCTGTGGTTTGTAAAACAAAATTTCTAATTAATTGGGTTGGGGTTGCTTGTGAGGTTTTGTTTTTTTTGTTTTTTTTTTTTTGTGAGTTGAGAATAATCCCCTTTTTCTGCAGTTAGCTAGTTCAAGAATCTCATCTTGATTTTTGCAGTTAGGAAACACGCATATAATCAGAGGTTCAGTTAGAGAAAGGCAGACTTGGACATGGGTAGAACTGTTTTCAAGGGTAGAAGAGAGCAAACATACATGTATGTGTATTTATATGTATGCATGCATGCTAGAACTCCATATCTAATAAATTTGTATGTAATTTGCAGCTGCAGGTCAATGAAATAGAGGAAGATGTGAAAGCGTGTTAGAAAACCTAAAAATGGCAGCAGATAAATAGAAAGATAAAGAAGTAAAAGGTCCTCAACATCAGCATCATACTCCTCAGGGCAAAGGACTGATGAAATGCTGTGCTTCACTTTTCCAGCTCCCTCCAACCAGATTTAAGTCATCATTAGGACACCCAAGGAGAAGTGGAATGGTGAGTGTAAGCCCAGAAAAAGGGCTAGAAAATTAGAAGCTTGCTTACAATGGTGTTACAGTGACCAGGGCCAACAATTGCCCATTGGTTGTCATCCCAAGACTACACACTTCTACACAGCATGCTGTGTCCCCACTTTTTAATGCCTCTGCTATCACATCAGGCATGTACTCCTCTACACAAAATGATTACACTGCAGTCATGAGTAGTTCATAGTACACAATAACTAAACTACCTGTTACTATTATCTATATAAAAAGAAAAGCTGTACCATACAATGAGTACCAATACAAATTAGGCACAGGCACTGGGTCTTTAGAAAAGGTGTTATTGCAGCAAAACCAAGAAAAAACAAACCTCTGGGCAGTTCACATAAAGCTTGCACACAACCTGACCTGCCTCGGTCCTGACACCTTGCAAAACTCAGGACAAAGCCTGTGGTCTGTTATTAGCAATGGCAGTTTTGTACTCCTACAAAAATACAATTTCTTTTCAGTCACGGTACGAAGGTTACAGCTTTTAAGCTTGAAGGCTTGTAACCATGCGGAAGTGAATGAAATGTTCATTTTTGTGCTGCTGATTCTGGAACAACACTTTTAGCAACTGTGAGTAGAAAATTAGGAGTTTATTTAAGATAATGAGCCTTATAGCACTTTCATCATGTAAATGCAACAACTAGAGACACACTCAAATCAAGATAATTAAATTTTATCGCATTAACTTGTTAAATTCTTTTAATGGCATTAAAGCCAGTAGACGCATTTTTCAACTCTGCCTGAAAGACAACAGCCAGTGACTTACGTCTTTGGTTTCTGTTGGCTCCTGAGCATATTCATGCAGGAATAAGCAATTCAAGAAGCAGATCTAGTATAAAAAATGAACCAGTTCTATGGTGTGGAGATGATATCCCCTCCTAGCCACCACATCCCCATAGCATCTCTTTCAGTTTGATTCACTTTCTCTTAGGACAAAGGCTGGTCAACCATCACAATAACGCACATGGCTGTATGGCTTTTTGTGTAAGACAGCAAAATGTATCCTGTGTTTTTCAGTGTTTAAGTAGGTAACAGATGGAAACATCCTTTTAGTCAGAAGACAATAAATGTAGTGAAGATACCACTTGGTAGTGTTCTGAACTTAGCTAAACTGATGTAGCTATAAGTATGCATAATGACAGTTGAGTGATATTTATGGCATACCTGTAATGTCAATTTAGTAGTTTCTGACCTCAGATTCAGATTAGCTTTATACTCTGATCTTGGTTTGGCAGCTAAAAAGAGGCAGCAGAAGCACGTCAGTCTGTGCTCTTTGGTTTGTATTTTGCACAAAACAGTTTAATGGAAAACACACAGAGCAGTGGCTGCTTGAACATGGGATCCTCCCATTTCATTTGTAGTCATTAGACTTCGATGCGATGTTTAACAACCCTATATTCAGCTCAATTATTTTTTATGCCTTAAATATAAATAAGGTAATTTTAACAAGATGGTAAAATTTTTTACCTTGCATGGTAAAATTGCTAAAATGTGTTAAATAGTGGGCTGAGATGCCTGAAAGTTTAGTTCTAGAGGCCTCTTTCCCACAAGGGAGTTTATCCCACTGTCTCAGATGTAGAACATGGAAAGAGATGTCTTGGAAGGGACTCCACATTAAATGTCCCTCAGCTGGGCGGAGAGCACCGATAACAAGAAAATGTTGCCAAAATCTCCAAATTATCAAAAAAGTGCAAGTTATTAACTCAGAAACAATTGCATCTGGCACTTCGAAATCTAAGACCTATTCAAGGTTAACTTTACATGCCACAGATAAAGTTCTCTTCATGTATTAAAGGCCCATGAGTGGCACCAAGTAGAGAAAAATATTTATAAGGTCTGTTCAGTTCCTACCTGTTCTTCCATAGATCAATCTGTCATTGCTGCCTTTGATTTTACTGCAACAAAACATAACTTTAGAGTAGAATATAAATCTGACTTGCAAAGTTTACCCATTGAAAAATAAGATATGAAACTGCAAAAGAGTCATAAAACAGAGTGCTTTCTTTACTGAAGCAAATCCTTTTTCACTCCTTAGAGAGTGAGATAGTATAATGTGGAAAGATTGCATTTCTCACACTCTGGAAGAACAGTTGATTTGTTGTTCTGACAGCCTTTATTTGGATCTCAAAGAAATGGGTTATAGGAAGTATGAGGAAAACATTGTATTTGCCATGAATTACCCTCCTTGGAAATCTATAATATGGAATAATTTCAGTCAGTCAGTGTCTTTTGAAGAATGTTCCTGGCATAAGATTCTTAATTTGAGAAATAGATATTAAGAGAAGTTTCATCGGTAAAACTCAGCACCCCACAGGCCTGGAAAAAACCTAACCAAAACAACAAAACAAACCAAACGACACAGGGAAAATCTGTTACTGGTAGGACAATTCTGGCTGGAGATACAAGCAAACAAATTAACTCTAGATGCAAGATTCTAGAGCCACAGGAATACAGAATATTTTAGGTTGGAAAGAGCTTTTGGACATTACCTGGTCTATCGCTTTAAAAGTGAGACTTAGTTTGGTGAGGTTGCTCAGCACTTCTTTCTTTCAAGTTTTAAGTATCTCTAATAATGGAGATTTCATAGTCTCTCTGGGCCCTTGTTCCCATGTTTGAGGACCTTCAGCATGAAGAAATTTTTGCTTAGCTATAATAAAAACCTTAATTTGCTATACTTTATGTCCATTGCCACTAGTCTTGTGCATCTCCTAGAAAAGTCTGGCTCCATCTTCTGTGAAACACTCACTAGGTAACTTGAAACAGACATTAGATCTCTAATTAAAAGGTAAAAGAGAATAATCAGTTCTCTTGACTGCTTACGTTATGTTTAGTATGTTATGTTTTTGCACAAATGCAGCACAATACGCAGTTAGTGTTCATTGCCACAAGGACATGCTGCTGTAGCATTTTCAGCTTTTACACCAGGACCTCTAGAACCTTTTCCGCAGAACTGCTTACTAGCCAGTTGATGCCCTCCCAGTGCTGTTACAAGTCATTCCAAGGATGTGACTTTGCATTTGCCCTTCTTGAATGTTTATAGGTTTCTCTCAGTTCATTTTTCCCAGCGTTTTGGGTCCCTCTGCATAGCAGGGAAGGGAGCCATGGAGACCATGCAGTCAAGCCAGTTCACTGTCACCTGTAAGCTTGCACAGAGTGCCTTCCACCCACCACCCAGGAGTCAGCTATATGAGGGGCTGTGGTAACTGCCTCTAAGTAACACTACTTTTTAATCAGCTGCCAGGCAGACTTCAAACAGCTGATGCACTTCAGGTCTGAATTTTGCTCTTACTTTATTTTTAGAGTAATTTCTTCATCTATTTAAGGAATTCCAGAAATTAACTGTAATTTCATTACTTGTTATATATGATAATAAATTTAGTTCTTCACATAGCTCATCGAGAGTACAGCTAAAATAAGTGTTGCATACAGAGTATGTCCTGATTATCTACCTGTTAATATTCCATTGAGGCTGTATAGAGCTATATAGGTAACATTTGTTGTGTTCATTTATATCACAAATAAAAAGGCATGTTTTACCTTCTCATATGAAACTTCCAAGTCTGGCAGTCCTTACAGTACCGTAGTGCCCTCAAACTTGCTTTGGAAGTCTGAGGCAATCCATACTTTTCACTGTCCATACATGTTGGTTGGATGACAGGTCCTCAAAGCTCAGGTGACCCCGACTATCATAAGTTTTTACCTCAGTTCTAGGCTTTAACCATAGCTGTCCTTGCCTGAGAATCCTAATATCAGTTTTAAATTTTTGATACAGACATTAGTTTCTGGTGTTAAAAATAATATAAAGAGTGTATTTAAAAGTATTAGAAACGGCATGTTTTCACTCTGCTTTCTTGCACCTTAAATACCAGTGTTCCCTACATAAATGCAGTACAGTGTAAAGAAAAGATCTGACCATGCAGAAGATGAAACATGTTGTAATGAGATGGCAACACATTCAAGATAGCGACGTTTGTAATAATCAATCCTTAGCTCCATTTATCACTACCTTGATGCTAGTCTTGAAACAGGACCATAAAAGTGTGAAGCCAAACTCTTTTAGAAATCCTTTTTCTGATAAGCACAATCTCGCAGAGGTTTTTGCATGAGGAAAATGAATGTACTTGATTGAATGTTACCAAACAGTAGATATGAAAGCTTGGCAACAGATTATCAGTACTTTGGGGGAAAAAAATCTTGTTACGTTAGAAAAGGAGTCACTGAGGTATCCTTGGCACACAGTAAAAAATAATGTACTTTTTTTTAACCAGTATTCCTGAACCTATCTGGGTGAATATGCTCTCATGGCTCTAAAAAGTCACGCAGTTATGTCAGTCTCACTGAAGAACATAAACCTTCTTAAATATAAGATTCCAGTAAGGAAGCTGCACACAAACAAGGTTTCTTAAAAATGCAGGCAATCTAGACAAGCTCATCATTGCATTGTTGTATAATCACAAGTTGATTTCATCAAGTGATTTAATATACCATGTATTAGATTCAATTCTTAATGCATCTAATTTGATCAGGTGATGTTTGTGGTTTGAAAGGTGATGTGTCTTGATTAAAGTGAGGTGCTGGATGCTGTAAAAACTACATCTTATGCAGCAGTGGCAGTGGTCAATTCACTGAATGTTACATAAGATACAGGAAGCAGCATCACAAATTTAATGGGTAAAATCATTTAGAGTATAATCCACTGCATAGACTTTAGTGCTACACTTCAGTATGAAATCACATGTGTATTAGTTTACTTTCTGTGTGAATTTTATCATTAACATGATCTGAAAACAAAGAGATTATTCCAATGGAACAGAACAATCAGATGGTGAAAGAGCTGCTATGTTTGAGTGTGCAAACACACAATCTGCTTTAATAGCAAACAAAATGGCTATGTTTGGTGAGAGACAGAATGGAGATGTTTGGGGTAAATGAGGAGAACTCGCATAGTTGACAATAACTTTATAT